CACATGCATTTTATATGATGTAATTGTTACTTCGAGCCAAGGCCTTTCCTCCTAAGGCCGGGCCTCATATTGTAATCAATGCAGCGTTTGGATTCATTCAAAACTGGGCCAGGCCCCGTGGTATTCTTCCCCCCTTTTAGGGTTTTCCACGTAAAAACTTCTCGGTGTCTCTTAAACGCATCACAGCCTCATCTCTTTCATCTGCTTGTGTTTCTGATCTTCGTAACAAAGCTAAAGGCATTAATGCTTCATATTTCTCTAACCGCCGCGAATTTTCCAGGACGCAACAAAGAGCATTCTACGATTGATTTCAAATACATGGCTCTACTTGATGATTATAATTAAAAGCCATTCAGAATTAATTGATGAGCAATGATGCAGTTAAAGTTACATCACTCACTCGATTTGATTTTAAGAAATCTGCATGAAGAAAGCAAATTTAAGGATTGAACATGATCTACTTAAAAAATACTAACTTGAGGCTTAAATGAAGATTAAATCAATTAAGGGAAATTGGATGACCCCACTTTTGATCTAAAGCCCAAGACGTAGGAAGAGACATTACAATCCAACATTTAAGAAATCCTTTTCCTGGCGTTAGATGCCTTTCATGTGGCATCCGCACCATCTCCACCTTGCACTGTTCGCCGTAGTACACCCTGGTGGTGGAGACCAAAATTGTAATGATTCACAGCATAGGCACCAAGCATCGCTTCTAATATTCATAAGAAGGGACCAAACTTTGTGGGTTCTAATCTAGCAGTTGTTTGATTTATTGCATGAGTGCTCTCACAAAGACCTCATGAGAAGCATGGATACTTGGACAAAGGAGGCTCGCTGCTCAGAATTTGCTTAAATTGCTGTTTCCATAATTTTTTTGCAAATGCCTTTTTAATTAATATGATTATTTTGTTTATTTTTCGTGCTAGCTTTTTGTTGTTTTAACTGTTTTATTTTTTTTCTTGGTTTTCCTATATGATATTTTTTTCAAGCTTTTAGATTTTGGAGATTTTAATGCACCCATGATTAGCACCTCTAAATCGTTTTAAAGGGAGAATACATCGTTTGATGTTTTTCCTTATTCTAACCTCTTTAGTAGTAAATTTTCTTCTCTAAATAAGTCTACTCATTTTAAACAAATGGTTTTTTGAAATTATAGATATTCTTTATCTTGATACTAATCTTATCCTATATATAATGTCCAAAATTTTATATATCTTTCAAGATTTTTTTTTTTTTTTTTTTTTTTTTTTTTTTTTTTTTTTTTTTTTTTTTTTTTTTTTTTTTTTTTAAAATTTTTTTTTTTTTTAAAAAAAATTTAAAATCTTGTCTGTATATATCATTTGATTTGCTGATTGTGGTTTTGTGACTAGTTCTTCCTATGTAGAGAGGAGCCTCCTATTCTACTATATCTGGAAGATATACTCACAACTAAAAATCATTTTAGAGATTGTAAAGAGAATTTATGCTTGAAAAAAAAAATAAAAAAATAAAAAAGAAAAATGACCAAAGACGTCAAATTGAAATAAAAGAGTTACACAAAAGGTATCAAAAATCAAAATGCTCAAGAGCAAATCAAAAGTGACAGAGGCATAAAATGAGCCACTTAAAAAGCAAGCTAATCCTCTCTTGTTTTAAACTTTTAAAACTTAGAAGAACTCAATGGGTTATTTGAATTTTCAAAGACTTATTTCAAATTCTATGATTGAGACAAATTACTTTGGTAATATTTTATCGTATGAGATATTTTTGGTGTAACCAAGTTTAAACAGATCTGTCTTTTATCCTCAATGTTTTATGAGTAAATTTTTTATTTTCAAAATATAATTTTTACCCTGAAAGAAGTTCGAGCATAGTGAATTAAAGGACTCGATATTCTCACCGTTTTTAGATTGTGGATATTGTTAATCTCATTGATCTTTTGGATCTCTAAAATTTAAATATTTGGAAAATTAAGTATTTTGTATTTTGGAAATCGGCAGGACGATCGTAATGATCGCCTGGACGATATGACCAATTATGCTAAAATTGGATCAGGCAATCAAAGGAAGCATAAAGGATGATTGTACGATCACATGAATCGGCCAAAACGATATACAAAAAAATCCTTAGTTGCTCCTGGACGTATAATATCGGCAGCACAAATTCAGGGCGATGTTCTAGCCGATAGGATCGGACAGCTCGACATTCAGGAGCTTTGGACTGATTTTTATCTGATTTTGAACGATCGTGCCAGACGATTGTGAGATCGGCCCAGGATAATCAGCCAATTTTCAATCATCCAGTTCATTTTCGAAGCCGGGTTCTGGCCGATCATCTTGTTTTGGAACTAATCGTACAAGACGATATTATATCATCCTTGGACAATAAAGGTTGGCAACCTTTGCATTTATTGAGCTCCTTGAGTCTCTTCTATTTAAGAGATATTGTTCAATGTTTTTGAACATCCTTGATGTTGTCTTGACCTGAGAACACCTAAAGAGAGAGAGAGAGAGGCGAGAGAGAGAGAGAGAGAGAGAAGGAGAGGATTTGTGGAGGGGGAGCTTGTGAGGGGTCACAAGGGTTGCTCCAAGCATTGTTCACTTCTTCTTCCTAGCGTTCTTGTTTGGAAGGGTTGGGAGAGGTAAGCTTCATCGATCGATCGAGGTTCTCTGCCTGCTTCAGGAGGAAGCAAAAGGAGTGGGGTTCTCTGCCTTGCCGAGGGTGACAAAAATGAGGTGTTTTGTAAAGGCTTCTCCTCCTAGCTGTGGGGGCTAAAGGAGAGTCACGTTGGTAGTGAAATATTTGGAGGGTGCCTCCGGGGAGTGGACGTAGGTCAAGTTGACCGAACCGCTATAAACTCTTGTGTTCTTTTTACTGCTTCCGCGCTTTAATTTTCTGTAGTGACTTTGGTTTGTGATATTTGTTCTTGTGTTTAAAGATTTTTTTAAAAAATACCAATTCAACCCCCCCTGGTTATCCTCGGGACTAGTTTATAGGGCCTAACATCCCTAAAGAACTTTCAATACTGGTGTGGCATATTAATAGACATGTATACATGACATGATCATTGATAGAAAATATATGATGGAATTGTTGGTATGAATATAATTGATAGACAATCGATATATATTTTATTGTATAACATCTAACATTTCTTTATAGTGTTTTATTAAATTCCTGATGGATTCCTATGCTTCTTGAGATGCTTTTGTTTCATTGATCATATTGCATATCGCTAATTCCATACTGATGACCACTAACTTTATATTGATTGAGTTCAACATGTATATTGATTTTGGAGACCTTGCATTGATTGCAATGATAGATTTTGGTTGCTTGCTGGGTTGTGTGCTCATTATGTGTATTTGATTGATTTTATGTCAAAAAAGGGGTTAGGACAATGTGGAGTGAGACTGTCGGGATCTTCATTTTTTTTTTAAATCATGTATTTTACTTATTCTTTTGTAGTAAGGACCTTGTTGAGATAGATTGATGTTATAAGTGATATCCAGATTATTGTAAATTAGGATTTGATGAATTAATATAGTAAAGATTTTGATGTATATAACTTATAGATTTACTTCCGCTGGACTAATCTATATTGATGTTTTATAGAAACTAAGGTAAATTAAATAAGGAATTAAAGATACAGTTCTTCCAATTTAGGCCTTAGGGTGTTAAAATCATAGTTAAGGAACAATAGTCAGGTGATAGTGGTTTGAGGAGCATAGTTGGGTAACAGTGCTCGGGAGACCATTGAAGAATGATGGTAGTTAAAAAATGGTAGTTGAGTAAGGTTGATCATAATATAATAACTAGGTAATGGTGGCCTATGGATTATAGTTGGGAGATGGTTACTAATAGGCCTTATTTAGGTGATGATGACCAAAGTATTGTAGTTAAACAATAGTGGTTAAGGCATCATATGTGAGTGATGGTACTTGAGGGGTCGTCTTTGGGATGATGGTCGAATGCTTCTAGTTAGTTAATGATGGTATGAAGATTGTAGTCATGCAATAATGGTTGGAGAATTATATACGGGCGGCACTAGTTGGAAGACAATAATTGGGCGATGCTGGTCGAAGGACCGTAGTTGAGCAATGATGATCATAAGATTATAGTTAAGCAATAATGATCAGAGATCAGGTGATAGTGGTTAGGAGACATATTGGGGTGATGATAACCAGGACTCTGGTGGAGGGTGGTGGTTTAATGTTGGTGGTAAGATGATAGTAGTTTGATAGTAGTGGTTAAGTGGCTATGGTTTGACAGAGGTTGTCAAACAATGATGGTGATTAGACATCATGGTACGATAATTGTGGTTGGGCAATGGTAATTTGTTGATGGTTAGGCGAAGCTATGAAGACCCTTTAAGTTCTCTCTACTTTCTCTCCAGTTTCATTCCCTCATGTAAAAAAAGAGCTCTTATTTATAGATTTTGAGAGTAGTTTTTATGTAAATATACCCAAAAATCAAAAATCTCAAACGACCTATATTGATCCCATTGATGATATGTCATTCATTTAGTATTTTAGTGCTTTAATGATGTTAGAATTAAGCGAAATTGGGTTCATTTAGTTTTTCTCACGGAGATATTTAATTTGAATATAAGCATGAAATATTTGAAGATCATTTGGTCATCAATTAATGTTCTAAAATTTTCAATTATACTTTAATGTTTGATTTGACCTCATTTGAAGTTATATTGGATTACTTTTGGTGTCTAAGATATGTTGATTACATATAAATCTCTTAATATTTTATCATTTTACCATACATTTTATAACAAATATTTTTATCAATTTTAAATTTATCTGTAAAATAAAATCAAATAATTTCATAAAATTTAAATGCATCATGCATTAATTTTTCTGATCTTAATAAAAAAATATATCAAAATATATGAAATATCTATCATAATTTTTTTTTATCCGTTGAACCCTTGAATATACCCTCTTTTTTTTTTTTGAAACGTAGAAGATAAAATTTATGCAAATCTCTTTCCTCCCTGAACTTTCATTTCCAAGCCCTCGTGCTTGCCCTACCCCATGATTTCCTTGCCGCTGGAGTCCCACTGTGGAATTTCTAGGGTTGCGTAATCTCTAACCTCTTTCCTCTTTATACCCTTTCCCTTGAGGAAATGGTTTCGTAGTCTCGATTTGACAAGAAAAGTCTGCTTTGTTACAGTTGAAGAGCTTCAGCGTTAGTGCAATCGAGGATGGGAATTTCCGGGGACAACGCAGACTTAAGACCGTTGTTTCCACGGTATGTCGCTCTGGATAAACTTCACCGAGTATGATAATTTTTCCCGCAAGGTTACTTGCACTAGTTGTTTGTGGAAATGCCCCTTCGGCTTGATTTCATTGCATTAACAGTTATTAAATTGAAGATTAAATCTGTTGTTAGGTTCAATAAGATGCTTAAAACTAGGAATTGTTGATTTGGGCTCCGCCTATGTTTTGAGAAAAGTACTACTTTACTGTTTATTTTGAATGGCATTGAAGAAAAAAGGTGTAAGCGGATGCATAGGGCCATTGGAGAGCTCATTTTTTATTGCGCTTAGCTATCAAGAGAAGATAAAGCATATTAATTAAGTTTTCTGCAATCTTGTTCAAAATATTAGGTTTGGTGAAGAAATATGATATGTGAGCGTGTTATAAATTACACTTGAAATATGGGGATATAGATTTTTGATATTCTGCTTACGTTCAATTTTTTCTCATTACTTCGTTCAAAGGGAAAAAGGAAGGATTTTTTTCTTTATTAGTTTTCTCATGGATTGAGAGCTTGATCTATTTCTTCACCTACCAAATTACAAGTGATTTTTAATTTCACCTTTTCCTTGACTTGATTACATGAGGTGCGAAGTTTGTGTTTTGATGCTGCATGGATTTTAAATTTATTCTTTTTGGGATAAGAAAATCCAATTTGACCAAGCACAAATTTGTATGCAAAATGTACCTCTTAAAGTAATTCAGAGGGATTGAACCAATAGCCAATTTTATTTTGTTAGACTAAGTTAGAATCCAAATAAGCCCGAAATAACATAATATCCCCCACATTTTGAAATGCCCGGCTTATCCATTGAAGGGGTTGTACGCACTATCCATCAATCTTGATGCAACACCAATTAAATAATCTCCAAGACGTGAAGAACAGATGATTGCAGATTAAAGATTGAAGAACAGATGATTGCAAAAATGAAGAAGCTTATTGAAACAGGCTTTATTTGAGAAGAAAAATATGCTGATTCGATAGCTAACATTATCCTTGTGAAGAAGAACAGTTAAATTCATATCTGTATTGACTTCCAAGATCTCAATAAGGCATGTCCAAAAGACAATTTTACACTCTTAGAGTCATAATTGCTGGTTGACAACATTCACAATTACACCATGTTCTTCTTCATGGCTGGATTGTCAAATTAAAATCAGATCAAGATGACTCCTGAAGATGAAAATCACACATCATTTCGGAGGCCTATCGATATTTTCTACAATACAGTCATGCTTTTTGGCTTGAAGAATATTGGAGCTACATACTAAAGAGCTATGACGCGCATTTTGGATGACTTGATTCATCAAAATATGAAGTGCTACATTAATTTTCTTGTCATTAAGAAAAGAGATTGCAAAGACACATCGATTATTTTAGAGTTATATTTGAGGGGATTAGAAAATTCGACCTCAAAATAAACTCTCCCAAATGCGCTTTTGAGTTTTCTCAGAGAAGTTTCTTGGATACATTGTACGACATAGAGGAATCGAGATCGATCCCAACAAAATTAAAGCGATATCAAATTATCGCTGTCGAAAAATCTTTGCAAGCTCGGTTCTTTGCAGGAACAACTTGCATTCATTCGGCGATGTATTTCAAATCTGCCAAGCGTATGTCAAACAGTTTCACTCTGCATCTCTTTTCTGTTTGCCTAAGAGGCATCTTGTACTAAAAGCCTTCCAATCTTTCGCAGGCAGTATCAATAATTTTCTACAAAATACTGAATCTTTACCATTGCATTAGGTCCTGTGGTTTTTACCAATTCAGAGGTTTTCACATAAAAAAAAATTTCCTTTATTTTACATGTCTTGAAAGGTTCAAGCTTCAACGAAGAGTGCTATTTTTACCTTTTCATAGAAGCCTCTTTGGCACGCAACATAGTTATCCACAAAATTTAGTCTTCACTTTTGTAGAGAAACTATAGCTGCTGAGTTTAGTTTCTCATTCATGTACTTCAGGCTTCAAAAACAAAAGTAATGTATTTGGCACACGCTTCTATTCATTTTCTGAGGAACTGGCCATCTATATTTCAGACCATTTACCAGAAGCAACAGAGGAATCTGGGACCAAAAATTTAAAGCCATTCATGATTTATAATTTTGTCACAGGCGAACATTGCAACTTCTAGGAAGCAAGACAGCACTGCACCAAGTTCTGAAAGAATCGAAGATGCTGCCACTTATCTCACCTATCCTCCAAAAGTTTCTCATAGCACTACAGCTCCCCTTGTAGATGCACTAAGAACTTGTGCTAAGGAAGATGTTGCTTGTTTCCACTTTCCAGGGCATAACAGAGGGAAAGCTGCCCCTCCATCTCTAGAGAGCATTACTGGCATATCAACTTTTCTACATGATCTTCCCGAGCTTCCGAAGCTCGATGACCTCTTCTCGCCTAAAGGTGTAATTCTCGATGCTCAGAAAAAAGCGGCAGACCTATTTGGGGCATTAGAGACATGGTTCCTTGTTGGAGGCACCACTTGCGGCATCCAAGCCTCGATTATGGCTACATGTGCGCCTGGCGAGACGCTCATTCTTCCACGGAACTCGCACATTTCAGCAACAACCGGTCTAGTTTTGTCTGGTGCTTCTCCAAAGTACATCATGCCAGAGTACAGTTCTGATTGGGATATACCTGGTGGAATAACTCCATCCCAGGTTAAGCAAGCAATAGAAGATCTGGCAGCTGAAAGCAAAACTGCAGCAGCAGTTCTCCTCACTTCACCAACTTACCATGGAATCTGTAGTAATATAAGTGAGATTAAAAGTCTTTGTCACTCATATGGTATTCCAGTAATAGTCGACGAAGCTCACGGCGCTCATTTTCGTTTTCATTGTGATTTCCCAAGCACGGCGCTGCAGCAAGGGGCTGATCTAGCTGTGCAGTCTACCCACAAGGTCCTAACATCTCTAACACAGTCATCAATGCTTCACCTGTCAGGAAATCTTATAGACCGGGATTCGGTCAGCCGGTGTCTTCAAATGCTGCAGAGTTCCAGCCCAAACTACCTACTGCTTGCATCCTTAGATGCTGCCCGAGCTCAACTTAGTGAGAATCCAAATACAATTTTTAACTCAAGCTTGAATTTGGCCATCAAAGCCAAGAAAGAACTAGGAAAGATCTCTGGCATCTCAGTTCTAGATTTATCTTGTTTCTCTTCACCCTTTCCTGCGATCGACTCGCTTCGAATCACGGTTGGAGTGTCTAAGCTTGGCATTTCTGGCTATAGAGCAGATGATATACTGTGTGATGAACTGAAAATCATATCTGAATTGGTAGGTTGCAAGTCTGTAACTTTTGCTGTCAATCTAGGGACAACAAAGGAGCAGATTCAGATTCTTTTATCTGGACTTAGGCATCTTTCATCAGTTTTTTATGGAGCAAAGGGGTTAGAATACAGCAAGAGGACTAGAATTTCTGCGCCATTCACTGATATCATTATTGGATTGTCTCCTAGAGATGCTTTCTTTTCTAAGAAGAGGAAGGTAGTAATGGAAGAGAGCATTGGGAAGATATGTGGAGAGTTGATATCGCCATACCCGCCCGGCATTCCCGTTCTGGTGCCCGGCGAAGTTGTAACCAAAGAAGCCATCTTCTATATCCTTGAAATGAAGAAGATGGGGGCTGCTATCAGCGGGGCAGCTGATCATGAACTGTCTTTGCTAACTATATGTGATTTGTGATGAGTTGAATAATTCTTACAAATCTAATTGTTTTGAGGAATTGCATTTCTACCATTTTTGGGAAAGATTCTATGTGTTGAGCCTTCTCTAAATTGTATATTTGGAGGGATCATTATGATCCAATCAATTTGGGGTAAAATCAATGCCTCTAGTATTCTACAATGGCATGGTGCTTAATAGGACTTAGCTGTGTCAATAAATGATCGGTCCGGAATATTTGACCCGAACTTGACTAAGAAAATCCAGATTCGTGTTAACTTCATTATTTAGGTTTGATTTGGGTTTGAAATCTTAGGCTTCGTTTGGGATGGATTTTTTATTGCTTCATAAAACCGAGTTTTAATAAAAAATTAAAATTTTTTGTACTAAAACTCCTTTTTAGGAAGCAATAAAAAAGCCTTAACCTAATGATGTTTTTGGTTGACCCAAGAAATAAAAATGGGCATAATTTAACTTGATATCATTCTAGTTTGGATTACAAAGGTTATTTTTGTGTTAAATGGGTCGTATTTGAGTTTAACGGGTTATATTTATCTTAAAACATTATATGATTTATGAGTCGAGTTTGACTTAGATGGGTTCAATCGAGTTTGGTTTAATTCAAATATTTGACCTGCATGATGAATGGGTTAGGTTTAGATCAAACAAATTTGAGCTGTGTCAAGTTAGGGTTAGACTAGAACCCTATCCATCAATCCAAATTGATGCTTTTACATGAGAGCAACACTTTGGACTCAATTGATTGCTTGTTGATATAAATTTTAGAAAATTATAATATTTTCAAATTTATTTTGAACATGAAAATAAAATATTTTTTTTTGAATCAAATGATGGAATATAAATTATTTTTACATTTGTAAACAATTTTTTCAAATCTCTAGCACAAAAGAAGCCCTTACTTTCATTTGAAATGCAACATACCATTACTTGTTTTGAGCTTCCAATCAACTCTACTTAGTCTTGTTTTCAAGACCTTAAATTTTGTTCAAAGTAGATGTAACCTAAAAATTTAAAAAAATTTCAAAATTTGATCCAGCAGATAGTGCCATGGCACTGGGCTAACAAGGTCAGCAGTGTCAAGAATTGTTGCCGTGGCGCTGAGCTCTCTGTTTCAAAGCAACTTTGGGGGTGATCTCTATTCTACTTTTGTTTTCAGTGATTTTGATTAGATATATTTTTCTCTCCTGAATTTGGGCAAAAAATAAATATATTCCATTTTAGTAAGTTTTCTCCATGTAACTTTCTATATGTGATAGAGATCGTTATTCTAAACGTTTTCTCTTGTTTATATGATGATTTCACTGATTAGTTTTGTTTGTGTTATTTTATCTGAAATGATTGGAAATGACCAAGCGTAAAAATGATCAAGAGTAAATGTATTAAATATGAATATGAGATACACGATATGCATATGACTATTATTTTCTTAGCATGATATGCATTTTGGCATAATACTTGCTATTGATAAATATAATGTATAGATCCACATGTTATGAAAATTGCATATGATATGTGCATGATGAGTATATGAATGATGTGATATGTGTAAGGGTAGATGAAATGAATAAACTGATATGCTAAAAACGATAGATGGGAGTAAGATTGAGACTAGACTGCTGACTAATAAAATGATTGATGAGTTGAGACAGATGATACCATGGCATTTGATATGATAGATGGACATGTTTATTTTATATCGTATATATTATGCATATGTCATTTTGGGCTTGTATCAATTATAATTATTAAATGAATATAAATGCAATTATATTTTTCACTTATATTGAATCTTGTGAGCTCAGATTGATGCTTAGCAATTTTTCTTAGATTCAGGGGCGTGATAGTAGACCTGTTCTAAGATTCAATAATACTTTAGGAGAATTTGTTTTGACACAAGTATTTAGATTATGGCTTTATTTGTTATAGTTTTCTTGCTACTTTTTATAGCAGGTTTTTAGTTAAAACATTTGTTAAAAGCAACAAAAAATAATGGCTAAAAGTTGTCCCAAAGGAAGCCTATAAATTAATGAATTGAGTTTCAAAAATAAGCTTATTGAATAGAGTGTTAGGGGTGCATTTATTTTTTATGAACCCAAAGTCTTGTGGTTGGGCTATAGCTGTTCAAAAAAGTATGTTAAATTATTATTATAATAATTAACTAATAATTATAAGTTGATGAATAAGATGATATAGAATTATGGTCATTAAGTAATAGTTTTTAAGCTAGAGTATTTTTGTTAGCAAGCTTCTATATAGAATATTATTTTTTTGTTTATTTTGTTTATTAATTCTTAATTAATTAGGCTAATGACTTATGAATTAATCATTTTATATTTCTTTTGTAGATTAATATTGTAATTTCCTTGGAATGTTGAGCATCATAGTGCAAGTGTTAGTTGTAGTTAGATTTGGGATGTGTTTGTGATGGATACATCTTTTTGCAAAGTTAGTTATAAAGTTGTTATGGAGAAAATAACTTTATTGAAAGTTGCTGTAAAATAAAGTTTCTTAGTACAATTTTTTCTTTTGAAAACAACTTAAGCCTCATTTGGGACGACTTTCTTACTACTTCTTAAAACAGTTTTTAACATAAAAATCAAAGAAAGCCGTCCCAAATGAAGCCTTAGTGTCTTTCTGAAGCAACTTTCTCACTGCTTTGTTTTTAAGATTGTTGTTATACGTATATTTGACTATTATTTTTTTGCTATTTTTAGATATTTTTAATTATTGTAGAAAACTATTTTTAAGGACCTAATCCATCTAAATATGATAGTTGAAAGAAGCAATTGCCCAATTTTATCAAGAAAAAAATATTTATTATATTCACATTAATTATTAAAAATTTACTTTCTCTATAATAATTTTACAATTATTTTTATATAAAGATTGAGCTGCCCCAAACATGAACTAGTGGTGAGAAGCAAAAAGCTCTCAACCATAGAAACAAGCCTCTATCAATATTTTGGTATAACTTCTAAATAATTACTACTAATTAATAAATATCAGCCTGATAATCATATAACTTAATTTCCTTATGATTAGTTTATACGTTTACTTAGACCCTTATTTCCTAATTAATTATTATTTATGCTTAATTAAATATCTGTGCTTAACTACTAATTAATAAATATCAGCCTAATTATTTTTGTTATTCTAATTAATATATTAATTAATCATTCTATAACTAAGTACATCAATGATTTACTTTTCTGGTGTTTAAATAATTAATTATTCATATTAAATTCTAATTAATAATTAATCAGTTTAATTTAGTGTCCTTATCATTATTTATTTACTAATTAATTATTTATATTAATATTCAAATGCTAATTACTATTTAAAATATTCTCCAATAAATTTAATTAACTCTCGTAATTTGATATGAGACAATTAATCAAATTTCTTACTTATAAACAACATTCCAATTAATTGCAAATTAACACACAAAAAACCGAGAAATATATACTACAAAAAAACCGAGAAATACAAAATAACATTGACAAGAAATAATGAAATTGCATTTTGCTAATTGTATCATGCATTGAAATCCACATATTTCAAGTTTTTTGCATATGAAAAATAATATATTTTTTTTTCAGATTAGACTGTTCAGCTTAGAGAAAGTGAGAGCGGGTCTCGGGTCGTGGCCGCGGGCTTCGCCTTCGCCGCGAGAGCAGGTGACGGTAGCAGGCTTCATCGCGAGAGTGGGAGCGGGCATTATCACGAGAGCGGGTCGACGAGGTAGCTGGTTTCTCCTTCACCGTGAGAGCGGGTCGCGGCAACGGGCTTGGTCACGAGAGCGGGAGCGGGTCGCGGGCCTCGCAACAACGAGCTTGGTCACGGGAGCGGGAGTGGGTCGCGAACCTCGCGGCAATGGGCTTCGCCGCCAGAGCGGAAACGGGATTTGCCCATTTTGCAGCGAGAGCAGGAGCTCGACGAGCTGCTCGACTCAACTCGTTTCGTGAGACGAGTCGAGCTCGACTCGAGCTCGAGCTCAATATTTGGTAGCCGAGTTTGACTCGAACACCCCCTGACTCAAACTTGACTCGACTCGTTTGCACCCCTAGATGCGAATAGTATTTTTGATGAAAAATGAACATTTTTCAATAAAATTCAAATAAAAATTCCAACTGAATAGTATTACTGCAATAAATTTTGAAAATTAAAAAAAAAAAACGTTGAATAAATGGGGGTACTTACACACATAGCAAACAATTTTTTTTGTATTTACATATATAAGATCTAAATATTAACATTTATTTATATAATATTTTAGTATCTCAATCATATCAAAATATATACATAAAAAATATAAAATTTTATTATATGATTTAAAATTTGAATTTATATAAAGAAATATCAAATTATTAAAATTTTCCAAATCTTACTGTAATATGGCATGTCACAAATGAACCTTTCATTCCAATTAGATCCAATACATTAAACAGACAAGTTTCTATTGCCATAGATTTCAGATTTAGCTCTCTTGCAAACTAAGGTTGGTATAGTGTCAATTCTTATGAACCATTATTAGATCCAATTAGGATCTCTATCTCTCTCTCGATTAATTATTATGTGCAGACTTCGAATGCTGTTCGGAGACTAATCAGAATGCGTCACGTCACCATTTGCTTGGTATTGCGGCTCGGTATTACTCGGTACTGTTCGGTACCGCGGCTTGGTACCGCTGATGTAGCGCATTCTGGTCCGATCTCTGCACAAAATAACTTCTCCTCTCTCTCTCTCTCTTCATAATTTCATACTGATTAAAAAGCTGGAGCCTTAACAAAAGAAACAAAGGAGAAAAGCACAAGATTCCCATATTAAAGCAGGCTATACAAACTCACATGTAACCCTCAATACAACTATGAGGACAGAAAGTAACAGAAACCAAATAAGACAAATACAATTAATCAAACTTCACAACTCTAATCCAAACCTGGTCAGATTAAAGAGGACCACAGCCTTCAGCCTGTGAAGCCATGGCCAGCTCAAATTGCTTCAATGAAAGGGAAGACAAAGGAAAGAACTCTGGTGCTTTCTCCCAGCCCTTCATTCCACCCACATTATTGAAGCCATCCCATCCTATGTGAGCCACATGCTGCACATCTGTTGGGTATCCAATGTCCATCTCTGCTTCATCTTCCTCATCATTATCTTTATAGACTGAGAACAGATTAGATAAGTTCTTGAATCCTTTAGCTAGTTTATGAATCCCTGCAGAAAAAATCGGCCTTGGGAGTTGAAGAAATATTGAAGAAGTACTCTTTGTTCTACCACTTTCCTGGCCTCCTCTTCCTTCGTCTGATTAAATGAAAAAAAAAAAAATAAAAGTTTGGCTATTTGGATCATTTTTAAATTACTCAGGAAAAACCATAATGAAAAAAAATCTCAAACAGGTCTTAAGAGCAGTGTAGAAAGAACTACCTTCAGGAAAAAAGTCTTGCTCGATATGAGTATTCTTTGACTGTTTTTCGATGACCTTAACGCTGGAATGGGAAGCACAGCCAACTGAGAAGGGAAGGATGACAAACCTCTGAACTCTCTCCTTCAGAGCCATGTTATAAACTGAATTAGAACAGCAAGATAGAGAGCTGAGGAAGAAGAAGATCCAGAAAGGTGAAGTGGGTATGATAATGTGAATGAAATAGATAGAGAGAGTGTAAGTTCAAGTGGATTTGTTATAGCTGGTAGTGAGTGTTGCTTTGTTGAGAAGCCTGAATGATTTCAGATGGAAGAAAATTGTAAGAAAGCTTGGTGACAGATGAGAGAAGAATATCATGGAGTGAGTTGGGTTGGTTGGTGCTTGCTTTCTTTGCTGATTTCAAGTCCAATTTGTAGGGCATATTGAGCCCCACTATCTTCTTTTATTGTGCTAATTCAGAACCTTCTTCTGCTATAATCTCTCTCTCCCTCTCTCTCTCTCTCTCTCTCTCTCTCTACATGTATAAATTGATTGTTACCTCACTTAAAGACAAAGCAATCTTGCCTAAGATCCGTGACTAACTTGTCTTGTGCTGTAATGGTGCCCAACAACTGCTAGATTTGGATTTTGAAAATCTATCATGTAGTAAAAATCAAGGGAATTATGACTTTATGGATGGGATTAAGGACCACAAGAGTTGAAAAAAATAATCAGAAGATGGTTAGATAAATTATCTGAGTTATATATAAGTTAAGTGTTAAAAATTAGAAGATATTTAAGCATAAAAAAATAACACAAAGGGTTAATTTGTCTTAACAAATAGTTTAAATATCTTCTAAATTAGACTATCTTTTTTAATGATTTTTATTTTTGTTGTTGTTGTCAAAATATCTTGAATTAGATGGCAAATATTATTATTCTTTATTATTTAGCAATAAAATACAACTAATATTTAAATAATATGTTACAATATTTTAAAAATAAAATTTGCAAGATGATTGAGAAAAGCCTAATTAATCATAATTAATTTATTCTATGATGAATGTAATATAAGAGTTAATAGATATTATCTCAAAACAATTTTAAAATTTTTAAAAGTTAGGATATGTTTGGGACTAGTGTTGTAATATATATATTGTATAGGAGGTCGCAAAGTTGTTGTGGGTAAAATAGCTTTTTAGAAAGCTGCTATAAATATTATAAATATATTCCTTTTTAAAAAATCAAACCCTTATTCTATTAAAATTATCACATATTAGCAATTCTAATCATAAAAAATACCGCCCCATTATAAAAATTTCAGTAAAACAGCAAGAAAGTTGAAAAAAACAGTAGTCAAATGAAACTGTAATCACAGTCTGAAAAGAAAAAAACAACGAAAAAACTATCCCAAACAGACTCTTAATCCCTCAATCAAATTTAAATTAGAATATTCTAATCCAAATTTTCTTCTATATTTTATGTCACACGTACTAATTAGAGTCCATTTTGATATTTGACTAATCATACTCTAAACCAAACATACACTAATGTTTAATAATACTCACATTTAAACTATAAGGAACCAACCAACCCCTAAATAACAAATTGCAAGATATTTGATAGATTCTCATCGTAGATTGAGATTGCTACTGATGTTACAGTGTTAATAAATTGTTTGTAAAGAAAAGCTTTTGACTGGCTTTTCCAATGGTGGTTGGGAGAGATTAGAAAAAAGGGGAGGGGTCAGTGCTTCTTACTGTAGATTGGCCCATCTGCTAAGGTTCTCTTGATTCCTTTTGCCAACAAGCTCATAAGTAGAAAAAAAAATTATTAGGTACGGTATTCCGACATATTTGGAGGCTAATTCAGACGCACCACATCATCTAATGTACAGTGCATTAGGTGATGTGATGTGTCTTGATTGGACTTCGGACGTATTCGGACACCGCACAAAATACTCTATGCTTTTATCTATATATATATATAATTTAAAAATATCATTAATATTAAATTTTTTGACGAAAAATATATATTTTTTTCATGCATTTACTTTGGTATGATTAGGAAACTAAATAGTTATATGAGTAAATATGAAAATTTAGATGTTAGATTTTTAAATATATAAGAATTGTGGTGTGAATGTAAGTTATCTTTAAAATAAAATATTAAATTTTATGTATATAATTTGATGTGATTTCAATGCAAAAAATGATGTATAAGTTAAATATAAATATTGCGTGTTAGATGTGTAAATATATGAAAGCCATTCAGTGTCACTATGAAGAACTTTTATTAGGTCCGGTGTAAGGACGTAGAGGAACGTTCGGTCCGAGGCAAAATCCCGCAAAAAAATTTGGTATTTGCTCTGTATTACTATGTATTATTTGATAATAACGAGGAATACCACTCTGTGAAGATCAATACCGAGTTATACCGAGCAATACCGAGTTGTACCGAGTTTTTTCTAGGAAAAACTCGGCACAAGTTTTTTATAACTCGGTATTGCTCGGTATAGCTCGGTATAACTTAGTATTTGGTCTTCACGTGATGGTATTACTCGTTATTGTTTGATATTGCTCAGTATTTGCTCGATATTTCTCTTTTTTTGCGCGATTTGGCCTCCGACCGGACGTAGAGGAACATCCGGTCGGAGGACGTAATAATTGTTCATCCACTATGAAGAGCCTTTTCCTCCAAGGAAATTAGGTGCTTCAATTGAATGCCATATGATTTTGACAGGCTTTAGAACTGTGAGCAGCAGCACTATTAAGGAGAAAGATTTTTCTTTTTGTTTGTTTTGGATGAAAATAATTAGTAAAAGTGATAGGCCTAATGATATGTTTGATGGCTTCAAAGTCATTAAGTATTTCAGTCCACTTGTTATTATTTTTTGACAAAATAATACTTAAGCTTTGTTTTGGGCAATTTTCTTAATGTTTTTTAAAGTAATTTTTTTAATATAAAAATTTTTAGTTCAATAAATTTTTGTATTTAAAAATTGCTTTAGAAAACAATAAGAAAGTTGTTCCCAACGAAGTTTTAGGGACAGGTTTTTTAATGCTTCTTAAAGCAGCATTCTAGTAAAAAATTTAATTTTTGTATTAAAAAACTGTTTTAAGAAGCAGAAAGAAAGCCATCCCAAACGAAGCCTTAGAGTCTGATTAGGATGGTTGTAATGTTTTATAAAGTTGGTTATACAGTTGGAATGGGGAAAATAACTTAGGCTTGGTTTGTTTCTCCGTAATTTCTCCGTCTGCGGTTTGAATCGGTGAAAAAAAGATTATTTTGCTATTTGATAAAACCACTTCTTCAAAATAACTTCCGGTGAACCTCCGTATTTTTGCCGATTTGAGAAGAAAATTTTTTCTCCATTTGCCGTTCTGAAAGCTCCGTTAAAAATGAGAAAATCGAGCCGTGGAATCAAACGAGACCTTGAGCTACTCTAGTTGTAGTTTTTCAATAGAGAACATTAGAATAATGGATATGTTGTATAGAAGAATATAGATATGGATGAAAATATGAACTCTAGAGTTATTATTGTACAATATTACAAAGAGAATTATGAAAATAGAGAGAGAGAGAGAGAGAGAGAGAGAGAGAGAGAGAGAAAGAGAGAGAGAGAGAGAGAGAGAGAAGCTCTCATGCATTCCTTCCATACATAATCATAGGAGAAAAGCTCCATCCTCTTTAGCCTTATGAAGATGAAGTCCCTTATTCCTTATTTAATTGCTTTAACATAAAGGCTAGGATGCAAATGGCCTCAATCAATTGCTCACAAATGTACAGGATCCTAAATACATTGAGTTGTGTTGATTTCTATCTTGTCCAAATTTGATTCGATCTTGAAGATAGCTTGAATTTCAAAATTCATTTCATGTCTCTATATTAGATTTCTTATTAAGTTTGAGTTGAAATTGAAATTATTGTTATAATTATTATTATTATTTTTGAGATATTTAGGTCAATTAAGACAAATTTACATACATCACAAATGCAAGATTCAAACTCGGGACCTCTTGGTTGGTAACCAAAGTTCCAAACCAACGGAACGTGGTGAGATGCATGATTCAAATTGAACTAAAAAAATTATGCATCGATGATGTACTGATACTAATTAAAAGGAAAAAAGGAAAAAAAAAAAATCTATATATCACTACACGATAAACATTCAATCATTTTTTATAAGTAAATTTGTTAATTATGTCAAACTGGTACCTACATCACATATGTGAACTTTGATCTCAAGAATTCTTAGTTGACAGTCAAAACTCTTAACCAGCAAATCAAGATGAGCTGCGTGAAATAAATTTATTGTAAAACTGGTCAGAGCTATTTGCCATTGCACATCTTGTCACAAAATCTGCCCCAAAAGACATATTTTGGGGCAAATTTTGTAAAAAATCTATATATCACTACAATATAAACATTTAATCATTTTCGATACATATTACATATGATCCCAAGATCTCTTAGTTCATAGTCAAAACTCTCAACCAGCAGATTAAGATGAGTTGCGTGAAATAAATTTATTGTAATACTGGTACGTCAGAGTTATTTGCCATTGCACATCTTGTCACAAAATCTGCCCAAAAGGCATGCATGTCCTAAGTATTTTATGACAAGATAAACTAGTTACAAATTTTTGATGTGACAAAATTTGGTCACATAAATTATATACATAAACACTTATTAGCATGAGCTTTGAGGTAGTTTTGTGTGACCAGTTATGGCCACAAAAATATTTAGATATCTTATGACTGCCTCTACAGTGCATAATTACACCTACTATTTACAAAATATATTACAATTATGTCACATGCATTAGTGGAGCTAAAAACTTCTTCTTCTTTTTTTTCGTGGGAGCACGAATTGTCGATTTTAAAAATACATTCAATATTTTTCATTTGGAATTCGGATTGACATCGAAGGTTTAAGAAAATTTGAGTTATTAACATAAAAAATATAAATTACATAACAAAAAAAAAAAAAAAAT